TAAACCATCAAACTTGCCACATCTTTTACTTCCTCAAATTCTCAAATTTCCAAACTATCAAATTTGCAACCTTCGAAATTTTCAAGCTCTCAAATCTCCAATAGCTTCAGTTCCACAACTTCCATCTCGAAAACTTCAAATATACGTAAAATTCTCAATTACCCACCTTACATTCACAAAATTTCCAAAGTTTACGACCAAAGTTGTAAATTCAGAAAATTTGCATGTACATTTACGATTTAACTGTGAGAAATTCGAGAAAGAATCTGAATCTAGCGAGGTATTATTCGACTGTAAACTCTTCGCAAGCTTGAACATTCTTCTTCAAACTGCTGTTCCCTCCACTTTGACATAACTTCCTTCCATGAAACGACCCCTACATCGTGAAATAGTCCTCATACTCATTGTAACAGTCGTTACATTGTCTCTTCCCCGTTACGACGAGATTACAGTCTACGGAGGATCTTTACAGAGCTCGACGACCTCCCTTTTTCCACTCTTCTCGACCCTGTTTCCGGCTCCGTTTTGGCTTTGTCGTGATTCACTTTCAGTTTCGAGGATTCTCTGGAGGATATTAGATGGTGTTTAGTGTCCCAGTTGGGGACGAGTAATATTTTTTGGGCGTATATTTTTATTCGTGGCGGTTAAATATGGAGTAGTCAGTTAAGTGGCGGTTGTATAGGAATTGATCAGTTATGTGGCAGTTATGTATCAAAAAGTCAGGTAGGTGATAGTTGCATATCTGTAAGTCAGTTAAGTGGCAGTTATATATGGATTAGTCAGTTATGTGGCAGCTAGTTATGTATCAATCAGTCATGAGGCAGTCATGCATATATCAATCAGTCATGTGGCAGTCATGCATATATCAATCAGTCAGTTATGTGGCAGTCATACATATATCAATCAGTCAGTTATGTGGCTGTCATGCATATATCAATCAGTCACTCATGTGGCAATCATGCATATATCAACCAGTCAGTTAATTGACAGTTGTATATGTATGAATCAGTCAATTAAGTGGCAGTTATACATGTATCAATCAGTCAGTTAAGTGGCTGTTATATATCTGTCAGTCAGTTAAGTGGCAGTTATATATCCATCAGTCAATTAAGTGGCAGCTATACATACATCAATCAGTCAGTTAAGTGGCAGTTATATATCTATCAGTCAATCAAGTGCCTCTTATACGTAAATTAATCACTGTTGCAATACTAAAACAGACGAAGAAAGTTAAAATATAATATGAATTCAGTATCATTCAGTTGACTATGTAAACTCTTCTAAACACATCAGCCTCAATCGCCAACTCATGGGTTGCCATCGGTACCTTCCACAAACCTTTTGATGTATCCAATATTTTTTATTCCGAATGATGTGCTAAACAAAGTTGCCTCAATAGCTCATCAGAAGTCCCTGTACACAGTTTAAGAGGGTTAGAAGTAAACTATTATCCGTCCCCCTTAATAGCTGTGAAATTATGGGAGTCAGGGGACAATTTGTTCGGTAAATGTTACCTCGTGCAGAAGGGACGGTGAAATGTGGCGACGAACAGACCTTTGTGAGGTAAATGGAGTGTAAAAGGTTCAGGCTACCTCTTGTGGATGTTGTTCTTTGCTGTTTGACTTGTCCAGACAAATATGGCTAATTTTAATGTTTCAGGCTGCTATTTAGTTATTGAATTTTGAGTGCAGTTAAGTCTTTTATTAGCAAGATATGAGTTTTACTTATTGGTTATTTGGATACTGGAAATGTTTCACTTTAATCAGGGATTGCAATTTTTGATGTAAACAGAAGTAGCTAGAATTATTTTCTAATTAAAAGTAAAATAATTACTTCGTTTTTTAATATTTATTTGCAACTTTCATCTTGCTGCAGAATTTGCAAAATTATAAACAATTGAACATTTAAAAAATATTTGAAAAATGTATATATATTAAATCAGTAATTCTAGTACTTCTAGTAATTAATTCTAAACTAGTAATTTTTGTAACTAGAATAACTAGTGATTTCAAGAATACCACATCGCAAATGTAGAAACGAAAGATGGCATCAAAAAAAGGAGGAATTATTGCTGAGTTATTTATTAGAAATTTAAATAAACACTGCAACAGACGAATGTTACTTTTGGACAGATATATGGCCATAAATCAAAGAATTACGTTTCTGCAGCTGATGCAAAGCTATAAATAACGTATGCAAGGGATGTCTATATGTACATTACGGATCACTATGTATAATGTATGTACAACAGATAGCAGAGGGGTTCACACAAATAATTATTGGAAATTAATTAGAAGTTTTATAGAATTAATTAAAGTATGAGGTAGTTATAGGGAGTTTTAGGTTTTGGAGTATTGGAGAATTTTGGGAATTGGGAATTTTGGGATTTGAGAATTTTGGGATTTTTGAATTTTGAGATTTGAGAATTTGGGGATTTTTGAATTTTTTAATTTTTGAATTTGGGGATTTTTGAATTTTGTGATTTGAGAATTTGGGGATTTTTGAATTTTTGAACTTTGGAATTTCAGAATTTTTGAATTTTGAGATTTGAGAATTTGGGGATTTTTTAATTTTTTAATTTTTGAACTTCTGAATTTGGGGATTTTTGAATTTTGAATTGGAGAATTTGGGGATTTTTGAATTCTGTAATTTGAATTTGACAATTTCGGTACTTTTTAATATTTGAATTTTTGAATTTGACAATTTTTGAACTTTATAATGTTTGAATTTTTGAATTTGACAATTTTGGAACATTTTAATTATTGAATTATTGAATTTGACAATTTTTGAACCTTATAATGTTTGAATTTTTGAATTTGATAATTTTGGAACATTTTAATTATTGAATTATTGAATTTGACAATTTTGAAACATTTTAATTTCTAAATTTTTGAATTTGACAATTTTGGGATATTTGAATTCTGTAAAGATAAGAATTTGAGCAGCCAAGAATTCAGTCCTCCGCACGGCAATTCGTCCACTCGTCACGTACCTCGCGCAAAGGTATAAAAAAGCATTGGAATAAATTGCGGTCCGCGGAAAAAGGGGCAATCATCGTATGAGAAGCGGCGAAAAACAGAGGGAATCGAAGAAAGAGAGTAACTCGCCGAGAAAGAACGAACGATACCGGGTGAACACGAGGGGGAGAACCCCGGCGCCGTGGCACGTCGCGACGCTCAGTCTACCGGCGTCGTCCGTGCAACATGAACGCGTTCAGCGGCTACTTTGCCGGTTCAAATCGCGTGCACTTCTCATTTCCTATCCCGTGCTCGATCGCTCAAAACGTTCTCATCTTACGGGCCTCTAGCGTGGATTTACTGAGGAGAATCACGCTATTCTGAATCTTATATCGAATTCGTGCATTTGCGAGTGACTACTGCGGTGTGCTTTGTGCGCGGTGATTTGAGTTGTAACTTAAAAGTTGAGTTTATGAATTGTAACTGAAAAGTTGAGTTTACTAATTGTAACTGAAAAGTTGAGTTAATGAATTGCAATTAAAAAATTGATTTTACTAATTGTAACTGAAAAGTTGAGTTTATGAATTGTATTTAAAAAGTTGAGTTTGTGAGTTGTAACTAAGAAGTTGAGTTAATAAGTTGTAACTCAGAAGTTGACTTCAGAAATTGTAATTGAAAAGTTGAGTTTACTAATTGTAATTGAAAAGTTGAGTTTATGAATTGTACATAAAAAGTTGAGTTTGTGAGTTGTAACTAAGAAGTTGAGTTAATAAGTTGTAACTCAGAAGTTGAGTTATTGCGAGTTGTAACTAAGAAGTTGAGTTTAGAAATTGTAATTGAAAAGTTGAGTTTATGAATTGTACTTAAAAAGTTGAGTTTATGAGTTATAACTAAAAAGTTGAGTTAATGAGTTGTAACTAAAAAGTTGAGTTTACAAATTGTAATTGAAAAGTTGAGTTTATGAATTGTACTTAAAAAGTTGAGTTAATGAGTTGTAACTGAAAAGTTGAGTTTACTAGTTGTAATTAAAAAGTTGAATTTGCAAGTTGTAACTGAAAAGTTGAATTTATGAGTTGTAACTCAGAAGTTGAATTTATGAGATGTAAGTCAGAAGTTGAGTTTATGAGTTGTAACTGAAGAGTTGAATTTACGAGTTGTAACTCAGAAGTTGAGTTTATGTGTTGTAAGTAAAAAGTTGAATTTATGAGTTGTAAATAAAAAGTAGACATTTCAATTTGGAATTTGAAAGTTGAGTTTATAAGTTGTTATTTAAAAGTTGAGTTTGTAAGTTGTTATTTAAAAGTTGAGTTTACAATTTCACATTGAGAAGTTGAGTTTATGTGTTGCAAGTAAAAAGTTGAATTTATGAGTTGTAAATAAAAAGTTGACATTTCAAATTGGAATTTGAAAGTTGAGTTTGTAAGTTGTTATTTAAAAATTGAGTTTACAATTTCACATTGAGAAGCTGAGTTTACGAGTTGCAACTAAAAAGTTGAATTTATGAGTTGTTATTAAATTTTGACTTTACAATTTGTTATTTGAAAGTTGAGTTAACAATATGTATCTAAACTGTTGACTTCAAAGTATTTCATTGAAAAATTGAGTTCACAATTTGTAAGTAGAAAGTTGAGTTTACAATTTGGAATTGAGAAGTTGAGTCTGCAATTTCTAACTAAAAAGTTGCCTTCACTATTTGTAACAATAAAATTGAGTTTACAATTTGTAATAATAAAGTTGCCTTCACTATTTGTAACATGAAAGTTGAGATTACAATTTGTAACAATAAAGTTGAGTTTAGGATTTGTAATTAAAAAGTTGAGTTTACAATAAGTAACTCACTTATTGACTTAAAAAGATTGGTAATATAAAAGTGATTGAGTTAACAATTTTTAACTAAAAAATTGAGTTAACAATCTTCAATTTAAAAATTGACGTTTAAAATTTGTACCTAAAAAGTTGAATTTACAACTTACATATAAAAAGTTGAGTCTACAATTTGTACCTAAAAAAGTTGTACCTAAAAATGAAAATTTACAGTTTTTACCTATAAAGCTAAATTTGCAATTTGTTCCTAAAAAGTTGAATTTACAATTTGTTCTTAAAAAGTTGAGTTCCCATTTTTTATCTAAAAAGTAAAAATTAACAATTTTCAATTTAAAAAATGAGTTCACAATAAAATAAGTGTACTTGTAACAAGTGTGAGGATAATAGTGAGTATTCTGGGATGCAGTGACAGTGTTGTGTTAAGGGTACTCAAAGATAGTGGTACGAGTAGTGCGAGCTAACATCATGCTCGAAATAATTGTGAGTTTCTATTAGGAGGATTTTATAATACACGAGTCGTGTTTGGATTAAGGAGATACTTGATGGTTTGAGTGAAACTCGAAGACTACCTAAAGTAGGTTTCATTCTTTTTAGTATAATAAATTAACAGTATTTCCATTAAAAATTTTTGATTTGCCAGAACATCTCAAAGGTACCTTATAAAGAATACCAAAATATCAAAATATATGTTGTTGCAAAGAAAAAAACTATTTGTTGAAATGAGTGTATTATAATTTATTTAGTGAAATTAAATTTTTTATACGAAATTGAATTTTTATTCAAATAAAGTATAAAAGTGATATTAATAATAGTAATAATGATGATAATTAATACAATGCACCAATAATAATAATTATAACAATATACTACTACTAATGATAATAGTAATATTAATAACGATAATAGTAATTATTGTAGTACAATAATAATAAAAATAAAGAGGAAGAATTTAGAATATTTAGATTTGGAGGAAACGTAAAATATCAAGACTGAAAGTTGATACTCTAGTTCATATTTTATGCAATGAGTCATAAATTGGTTATATTAAGAAAAGTCGTGATCCTATTTACGATTCTAATGAGCGTGTAAATTAATGTTCAATTTAGACTCTCTCTGCTATCTTTAGAATTACACTTATATTTAGAAATTGCTATATTGTCAAATTTCTATATTTCAAAAAATCCAAATTTTCTAATTTTTATCTCAGATTCTTATATTTTTATGCTTTGAAAATTGCAAGTTTTTAAGTCTATAAATTTTGAAACTATGAAAATTCCATGATTCCATAATTTCAAAGTTCAAAAATTCAAAAATTCTCAAATCCCAAAATTCAAAAATTCCAAAGCATCTCAAATCCCAAAATTAAAAAATTCCCATCCTCCCAAATTCCCATCCTTCCAAATTCTCAAATTCTAAAATTCCCAAGTCCCTAAATTCTCAAATTCCCAAGTCCTTAAAATCCCCCAAATTTGAAACCCCGAAATTCCACGAATGTCAGAAGAAACGTCTGCTTTTATGATCCATTCAAGAAATAAGACGAGCTTCTTCCAGTTTTATGCCTTGGCATAGCTTCCCATACGAACAACACACGGTTTTGCGACAAGAGTTTCCAAGAAATCGCGCGAATCGACCTGTAAAGTGAGTTATTGTTTCCTGTACAATAAAAAGAAGTAGTCGCTAGTTTACCGCGGATCGCGGGTTAGAGTTTATGAACCGGCAGTGGGTCAAGATCGTACGTTATTAGAGAATTTACTGATCGATACGAGAAATTCTTTCTTATAGCTTCAGATTATTGGATTGTTATTTATGGGGGTTTACATCTTCATATTTAGAGATTTTGTAGAGAAAAACTTGCAATTTTTGAATTTTGGTATTTTGGAATTTTTGGAATTTTTGGAATTTCTGGAATTTTTGGAATTTTTGGAATTTTTGGAATTTTTGGAATTTTTGGAATATTTTGAATTTTGGAACTAGGAAATTTTGGAACTAGGGAATTGGGGAACTAAGGAATTTGGGAACTAGGAAATTTAGGAATTGGGGAATTTTGGAATTCGGGAATTTGGGAACTAGAGAATTTGGGAATTAGGGAATTTGGGAATTAGGAAATTTGGGAACTAGGAAATATGGGAACTAGGGAATTTACGAATTGGGGGATTTTGGGATTTTGGAATTTGGGAACTAGGGAATTTGGGAATTAGGAAATTTGGGAACCAGGGAACTTGGGAACTAGGGAATTTAGGAATTTGGGAATTTTGGGATATGGGAATTTCGAAACTAGAGAATTTGGGAACTAGGAAATTTGGGAGCTAGGAAATTTGGGAACTAGGGAATTAGGGAACTAAGGAATTTGGGAACTAGGGATTTTAGGAATTAGAGAATTTTGGGATTTGGGAATTTGGAAACTAGGAAATTTGGGAACTAGGGAATTTAGGAATAGGGGAATTTGGAAACTAGGGAATTTGGGAATTAGGGAAATTAAGAACTAGGGAATTTGGGATCTAAAGAATTGGGGAACTAGGAAATTTGGAAATTTTGTGATTTAAGAATTTAGAGTATTGTGAATTGAAAGATTGAAAAATTAAGAAATATAAATATTTGAAGAAACAGGAGTTTGAATATCTAACAATCTAAAAATATAAGAATACAGTGATTTAATTTCAGAATTTCAATGTCAAAAAATTTGACAAATCTACAAAATTGTCCAAACCCTCCGCAGTCCGCATACAAACCCCTGCCAAAGCATAAAACCGCCAGAATTATCTTCTTCCCCGAATGAGAAATAAAACTAGTCGTTTGTCGTAGAATTCGTAGAAAAATTCATGCGAATGGCAGTCCTCCTACGGGAATATTCTGAAAATGCTGAAGGTGACTGCTTAAACTCTCGACTTTAACGTAGATTTTCGACTACATCTCGCTATTGAACACGTTAACACGTTCGGTTAGAAGGATTTTTCTGGCTTAAGGTATTTCGAGAACGCTGGATTTCTGAACAAGTCGTGAGGATTCAGGAAGGGCTCCGCTCTTCATGAATATGGAAATTCTCTTTGTTTCGGTGTATTTACGAACTAAGTTACTGCGGTAATATCCGACGTTTCAGTTTCTACTCGAATGATTTTCTTTAGTGAGAAATCTGCTGTGTAATCGGGGACATTAATTATTGGCTCGTTTTTTAATTAGGATGCTTCAGTTGTTAGGCGGTTTCGCAAGGATTAGGGTTGTTTCAGTGTTTTTTGGTTGGTTTGGAAATTTTTGGGTAGGTTGATGATTTTTAGTTTAAATATTGGAGTTTTGGAGTTTTGGAGTTTTGGAATTTTGGAATTTTGGAATTTTGGAATTTTGGAATTTTGGAATTTTGGTATTTTGGAATTTTGGAATTTTTGTATTTTGGTATTTTGGAATTTTGGAATTTTGGAATTTTGGAACAAGAAAATTTGGGAACTAGGGAATTTGGGAATTAGGGAAATTAAGAACTAAGGAATTTGGGAACTAGGGAATTTTGAAATTTTGAAATTTGGGAACTAGGGAATGTTGGGATTTGGGAATTTGGAAACTAGAGAATTTGGGAAGTAGGGAAATTAAGAACTAGGGAATTGGGGAACTAAGGAGTTTGGGAACTAAGGAATTTTGGGATTTGGGAATTTGGGAACTAGGAAAATTTAGAACTAGGAATTGTGGGAACTAGGGAATTAGGGAACTAGGAAATTTGGAAACTAGGGAATTTTGGGATTTGGGAATTTGGAAATTAGGGAAAATAAGAACTAGCGAATTGGGGAACTAGGGAATTTTGGGATTTGGGAATTTGGAAACTAGAGAATTTGGGAATTAGAGAAATTAAGAACTAGGGAATTTTGGGATTTGGGAATTTGGAAATTAGGGAAAATAAGAACTAGCGAATTGGGGAACTAGGAAATTTGGGAACTAGGGAATTTTGGGATTTGGGAATTTGGAAATTAGGGAAAATAAGAACTAGCGAATTGGGGAATTAGGAAATTTGGGAACTAGGGAATTGGGGAACTAAGGAGTCTGGGAATTAGAAAATTTTGGGAATTAGTTTGAAAATTTTTTAATTGATTTCACAATTTTTTAGTTAAATTGACAACTTTCTATAAATCCAAATCTCTCAAACTCGAATTTTCAAACTCAAAACCCTTCTGTCTCTAAATCTCCCATTTTCTCAACACCCACAACTCTAAATTCTCACAGTTGCCAACTCACCTGTTAAATAACATGTCCAAACAAAAAAAAAACATCTGACAGACACTTAGTAAACACTTGACAAAGTTGTTTCTTAAAATTCTCGTTAAATCGCGTCAAATCATTTATAAAAAACTCTTCGTTTGAATTCACACGTAAGAGTTTCCACAGAAAAGTATCATCTTCTACATACATATAACATGATATCTCATGACTCGTAACAATTGCGAAACTGTTCCAGCAAAATTATTTATGTCTACATATAATAAAACATTACAATAAAACGAACGCAGTGAAACCTTGCGTTACGTGGCAGCCATTTTCTTTCTACTCAGTTTCTTGCGGAACTAACATTTTAATTAAATTTCTGGTTTATATCTTGTTACGATTCTTTTATGTTTCGCGAGGATATTTATTTTTATGGTTTTATATGAAAATTATTATTGTTATTGTTATTACACATTTTTGTTATTGCTATTGGAAGAATAATTTGGACGAAACATTTAACCTAATCACAAATACAGTTTGTACAATTTTAACCTAACTATTATATATACAAGATGAAGAAAATGTTCTTTTTATTGTGTATGAAATTAACTTTGTTAATTTCATGTTATGAACAAGTAAAAATTATAATGAACACAAACGAAGATAAAGTACAATAAGTATAAACAGGAAAAAGTGGAATAATAAATGATAAACCTGAAGGAGGACAATGATTTGAGAATTTTAGGATTTTTGAATTTTGGAATTTGAGAATTTTGGGATTTGAGAATTTTTGAATGTCTAAGTTTTGGAATTTGAGAATTTTGGAATTTAAGAATTTTGGGTTTTGAGAATTTTGACATTTTTGAATTTTGGAATTTGAGAATTTTGACATTTTTGAATTTTGGAATTTGAGAATTTTGACATATTTGAATTTTGGAATTTGAGAGTTTTGACATTTTCGAATTTTGGAATTTGAGAATTTTGGGATTTGAGAATTATTGAATTTCTAAATTTTGGAATTTTGGAATTTGAGAATTTTGTGTTCTGAGAATTTTGACATTTTGGAATTTTGGAATTTGAGAATTTGGTTAGATGAGAATTTGGGGATTTGAGAATTTTGAAAGTTGCAGATTTGAAAATTTAAGAATTTGGAGAAACAGGAATTTGAAGATTTAACTGAAGCAAAAGTATAATAGGTACAAACAAGGATAAAGTACATACAAACAAGGATAAAGTACAATAAGTATAAACAAGGAAAAAGTACAACGATAAATAATAAACCCGAATAACTAACCGGACAATAATAAACGAGGAAAAGAATATAATAACCAGAAAATACGACCAACAAAAAAAGCGTCCCAACAAAAATTCATCTTATTCCTTTAACTTTTA